TTTGAAGTTAGTCAACTCCCCGCGACGTGTTGACTCAAGTCTAAATATGTTTACAATGTTTAAAATGAAATATCTAGAATTTCCATGGTTCGATTTTCTTCATTCTTGGTAGTCGTCAAGACGTATAAGCTTTAAATCTGCAGGAATGATCCCGGTGATCCCCCGGCAGTTTTCGAGATATTGACCGTTGAAGTGACTACTGTCAACTCGACGTTCGCTAAAATGGCGTCTAATACCGTTGAAAGAATTTGCGCCATGAAAGATGATATTTTCAATGAATTTTTGTTGAAGTGCTAAAATGTTATTTAGAAGACTTAGGAATTGTCCTCATATTTTTGTAGAATTCATATCTGTGCGATTTTCAACGTTTTGTTGTCTTTGGCCGACGCGACTGGATCGTGTACGTATGTCAAGACAAGCTGATCGCCTGATCCTGGGGTTTTTGTCAATTGTGGCAAATCGAGCTGCGGAATCCTCAGCATGGACAAATCAGTGTCAAAAAAACCCATTTCAAACCAGCAGAGAGCTCCACTTGTTTTAAAACAATAAAACAAGTTTTTATTGTATTATCATATGTATCATACTGCATATAAACAAATTATTATTAAAGGGAGTGGTCATTATTTATGGGGAGCGGGGTTGGTAAATGGGGAAAATAAGGATTAAAAACTTTTTATCCCGGAGGGGAAGCGGGATGGCTTTAGGGTTAGGGTGTAGGGTTAGGGGTTAGGAGGTGGGGAGTTAGAGGTTAGGGGTTAGAGGTTAGGGTTAGAAGTTAGGGTTAGGATTAGGGTTTGGATTAGGATTAACGTTTGGATTAATTATAGACCCATTACAACCCAATACTTTATTGCATACAATGGCATTACAACGCCAATAAATTATTGGTTACAACGTGCGGAACGGCTGTAAATACATAAATACACAGCGTCTACTAATATGGTTCCAGAGGGGGTTGGACAGCTAATTAGTCAGTTAAGCGTGAGCTGTCGACCAACGAGATCGCTTTATTTTCCATCGTGTTGTCTGCAGAATTTGGACAGAAGAATTTGCATTCGACGGAAAATAAATCGGAAAAAAATATTAATATTAAAATTTTCTTGCAAAATCTCAAGCGTTGTAGCATTACTACAGACTAAAGATCTGGTGATATCTGCAAAAATCTCTGAGGTAAACTTTATTTTCAATGTTATTTTGATATTTGAAGTTAGTCGACTCCCCGCGACGTGTTGACTCAAGTCTAAATATGTTTACAATGTTTAAAATGAAATATCTAGAATTCCGATGGTTCGATTTTCTTCATTCTTGGTAGTCGTCAAGACGTATAAGCTTTAAATCTGCAGGAATGATCCCGGTGATCCCCCGGCAGTTTTCGAGATATTGACCGTTGAAGAGACTACTGTCAACTCGACGTTCGATAAAATGCCGTCTAATACCGTGGAAAGAATTTGCACCGTGAAAGATGTTAATTTCAATGAATTTTTGTTAAAGTGCTAAAATATTATTTAGAAGACTTAGGAGTTGTTCTCATATTTTTGTAGAATTCATATCTGTGCGATTTTCAACGTTTTGTTGTCTTTGGCCGACGCGACTGGATCGTGTACGTATTTCAAGAGAAGCTGATCGCCCGATCCTGGGGTTTTTGTCAATTGTGGCAAATCGAGCTGCGGAATCCTCAGCATGGACAAATCAGTGTCAAAACAGCCCATTTCAAACCAGCAGAGAGCTCCACTTGTTTTAAAACAATAAAACAAGTTTTTACTGATTATCATATGTATCGTACTGTATATAAACAAATTATTATTAAAGGGAGTGGTCATTATTTATGGGGAGCGGGGTTGGTAAATGGGGAAAATAAGGATAAAAAACTTTTTATCCAGGAGGGGTAGCGGGCCGGCTTTAGGGTTAGGGGTTAGGAGGTGGGGGGTTAGAGGTTAGGGGTTAGAGGTTAGGGTTAGAGGTTAGGGTTAGGGTTTGGATCAGGATTAACGTTTGGATTAATTGTAGACCCATTACAACCCAATACTTTATTACATACAATGGCATTACAACGCCAATAAATTATTGGTTACAACGTGCGGAACGGCTGCAAATACATAAATACACAGCGTATATTAATATGGTTCCAGAGGGGGTTGGACAGCTAATTAGTGAGTTGTCACGTGAGCTCTCGACCAATGAGATCGCTTTATTTTCCATCGTGTTATCTGCAGAATTTGGACAGAAGAATTTGCATTCGACGGAAAATAAATCGGAATAAATATTAATATTAAAATTTTCTTGCAAAATCTCAAGAGTTGTAGCACTACTACAGACTAAAGATCTGGTGATATCTGCAAAAATCTCCGAGGTAAACTTTATTTTCAATGTTATTTTGATATTTGAAGTTAGTCGATTCCCCGCGAAGTGTTGCCTCAAGTCTAAATAATATGTTTACAATGTTTAAAATGAAATATCTAGAATTCCCATGGTTCGATTTTCTTCATTCTTGGTAGTCGTCAAGACGTGTAAGCTATAAACCTGCAGGAATGATCCCAGTGATTCCCCGGTAGTTTTCGAGTTTTAGATTGACGTACGACTTTCAAACCGCGAACGGCAAACCGCAGGTAGACGTTCGCGGTTTGAAGTTTGCAGTTTGTAATAAAAATTGCATTTAGTTTGACGTTTAAAGTTTTCGCGCGAAACGAACAAATTCAAAATGGCGGGAGCTAGAAGGTATGTAGAAGTCTTGTGAAAATCGTCTTTTTTCCCGATAATTAGTTTTTAATTAATCTATTTTATTTCTATATTAACAAGTACCGAATCTATCTGTAGACGTAACTTTGACCAAATTTTGAACTATATGATGTACACTTCTGATTCTGATGATAGTTCAAGCAGTGATAGTGATGATGATATCGATTTGCTATTTTTTGAAACATGTTTTGCTACAACACGAGAACTAGGAACTCGGACCGGATTAATCTACAAGACATTTCCGAAGATGACTGTGAGAAAATGTTCAGGTGATATTTTTCTGCTTTGCGTAATAACTAATATTTTGAAAAGTTGGATTACAATGTCAAGGACTTTCAAATTTTTTTCCCGTAGATTTGAAAAGTACGATATATCTCGTCTGCGAGTTGCACTGAAAATACCGGATCGGTATGCCCGTTGTCAGGGGACCGTTGTAGGTGGATTGGAAGCTCTCCTGATAATGTTACGCAGATTGGCATATCCAAATAGATTGAGTGATTTGACACCTATATTTGCAAGAACCGAATATGAATTAAGTCTAATTTTTAACACGGTATGAAGTTGTGTCTTAATTTTCAGCCATAAAATGTTCCAATTTTTAATAAATTGTGACTTCCTACTGTATCTATCGTTTTAGATACTGGATGACATTTATGAACGATTTAACTATCTGTTGACGTCAATCGACTTAGTTTGGCTTGACTCAGATCTCATTTCAAGAGTCATACATGCCAAAGGAGCCCCACTACAATCTTGGAAAAAATATGTGTAGACTTTTCGAAATATACACCCAAATTTGAAAACATATGATGAAAATGTGCGCATTTTTCAATTAAAGCAACTATTTTGCTTAAATCAACCCCCCCCCCTCCCCACAAGCAATGTTGGTTCAGGTAAAGTGGATTTGCAACACATGTCACCTAAATACCAACATTGTTGAAAATTTAAGAAGTCTACTAATTTTTTTCCAGGATTGTCTTTAAATTAAGGTAAACCCTTAAAGGAAGGATATTAAATATTTTAAACATATCAAATTTTCTATTCTCTTATGTTGTTATCAAAGTCAAGTGGCACATATGTTAGTGGTAACAAACCCCCAAAAAAAATTCCGGGGGGGGGGACTTGCGATGGTAGGATTTCAGAAAATAGGTGTATATTACTGCCCATACCATAGCTCGGGTTTTCTTGCAGTTTCGTTGAATTTGGACACGATTCTAGATTTTTTCTGTGTTGGTGTAATGTACTCAGGTGAATATGATGCTTGCAATGTTACTCTGAGTGTATATGCACACCAAATAAGCTTGAAAAATATGCAGGGCAACGGTGGGAATCGAACCTAAGACCTTTGGAATACTAGCCCAATGCTCTTCCAACTGAGCTACGCGGTCAGGTCGGTTCGAGTATGTGATATTTCATGATTGCTAAATTACATTGATATCGAAAGAACTAGATTCTGTTCCGAAATATCACCCACTCGTACCGACCTGACCGCGTAGCTCAGTTGGCAGAGCATTGGGCTAGTATTCCAAAGGTCATAGGTTCGATTCCCACCGTGGCTAGGCATATTTTTCAAATTTACCCGGTGTGGATATGCACTCAGAGGCATCACAAGCATAACGATTCTAGATGTTTTTATACATTGGAATGTATAGTAAATTCAAATTAGCTTCAACTTAGAGTCATGTAGGTTTAACACCCTTTTCAAAATGTTTACTTAGTGTTTGGTCGCGGAAAATAAGCGAACTTAATTTCTTAAAATACACATATCTGCTTGATTTCTTGAGTTCGTTTGGAATAAATAAACTAAGATACATTTCTGCACGTTTATCGTATGGTTGTGTCTTAAATTATGTTAGGATTAATTTATTTTTAAGGTTTTTAGTTCTCTATGCAGATTTTCAACTATTATAGATTAGAACAAATCTCAATCTCTACATGTTACATCATGTTACATCATGTTACACTACATGTTACACTAAAATTACTACACTGTACTATAGTTCTTGACATGTTACTACATGTTACACCTATATTTTTAAAGGGAACTATAAATTTTTTAAAGGTAGGTGTAACATGTTGTAACATGTGAGGATATATAATAAAATATAGACCTTTTAGTGTAACATGTACTGTAACATGTGGTGTAACATGGTGTAACATGTAGTGATTTTACTCAGACTGTACATTTATTAAATAATAAAAGATATTCGTTAAGACAAGCACCAATTTTGAGGCAATCACAGGTACATGCGCTATAAAAGCATATTGAAACCATATTAAAACATACTTTATAGGTACAATTCTGCACTATAAAATTTAAATGATTGACAAATATGTGAAAAATGTGACGGTCATGAAACATTGTACAATGTGTGCCAGCCCCACGGCTGTTTAGACTGGTTGTGGGGCCTCGAGTTTCAACGCGTTTCAAATAATTCTTAATTTATTTTCAATCAATAACGAACGGTGCTAAATACAAACACAAATATACAGGAATTACACGGATAAATACGAATTACTGAATACTGGACAGAAACAGATATAAATACTGACAATCTACTTACAAATATCTATGACAGGACACTGGTATCTGGCGAAAAACGTAGGAACAAGTCAGCAACACAACAAAGCGCCCCAAAGTTCGATATCGCTAAGCTACTTCAATCTAAAAATGGCGCGAAAAACCCGGAAGTCCGTCAGCCGGAAGTCGCGGCTGCTACATGGCTCCCCAAAATGTCAACTTTGTTCATTTTCTAAATATTAACTAACTATCTTTTAAAGGTCACATAGAAATGTCAACTAAAGTTCATTGCTCCTTGGCGGGGACGTTCCTTTCGGTCTCTTCTTGCTCCACCATTTCTAACAACACTGTCAACTTATGAATTGGACGTTCGAAGCTGCTCAAGCTATTCTTTCTTCTTCCGTTCTTATCCAGGTTGCTTGTTGCCTTCTGAATCTCAACTTTTCGAACTAGACCATCATCATTGGGGTAAGTTTTGGTGACTTTCGCTAACGGCCACTGATTTCGCGGAAGGTCTTCGTCTTTGTCAATAACAATATCACCAACCTGAAGGTTTCGTTTGGGGCATTGCCATTTCTTTCTGATTTGCAAGTTTTGGAGGTATTCGCGTCTCCATCTCTGCCAAAATTGATTTGCTAAGAATTGCACACGCTTCCATCTTCTACGACTGTAGACATCGGGTCGACTGAACTGTCCCGGTGGTGGCAGTACAACTTTAGATTTCAGCGTAAGTAGTTGCATTGGTGTTATTGGTTCTGGACTGTCGGGGTCGGAGACATCTGCAGTTAATGGGCGGGAGTTAACAATATTTTCTGCCTCTGTGAAGAGCGTGCGCAGAGTCTCGTCGTCGAGTTGGTCGCCGAGTTCAGTCATAAGAGCGGAGATGACTGATCTGACTGTTCTGATCTGTCGTTCCCACACACCTCCCATATGAGAAGCGTGAGGAACATTCATGATCCAATCGCAGTTCTTCGTCAGAAGAAATTGATGGACGTGGTCTTGGTTCATCTTATTCCATGCTTGCGTCAGCTCTCCTTTCGCCCCGATAAAGTTCGTTCCTCGATCCGATCTAAGCTGGCGAACGTTTCCTCGTCTACACATGAACCGTCTTAAAGCACAAATAAAACTGTCTGTGTCCATAGTGTTTAATGTTTCAAGGTGAATGGCCCTTGAAGCCATACAGGTGAAGATAACGCCGTATCTTTTTACACTCTTTCTACCTTCTCTGATATACCAGGGGCCGAAGGCATCTACTCCAGCATAAGTGAACGGAGCGGTTTCTTTCGTGCGGTCGAATGGAAGATCGGCCATCTTCTGGGTTTCTGTTGTGCCTCGTTGTCTGCGACATTTCACGCATTTGTTGATGACATTTGATACTGTGGCTCTACCGTGGATTATCCAATAGCCAGCATGTCGAATCTCGTTCAAGGTCAGTAGACGGCCCTGATGTTGAACTGCTTCGTGGTGATGTCGTATAACCAGCGTGGTGATGTGACTATTCTTTGGTAGAACAACTGGATGTTTCTCTTGAAATGTGACATCTGCACGTTTAATTCGTCCACCGACTCGAACAATTCCGTGCTGGTCTACGAACGGGTCGAGGCGGTGCAGTGAACTGATGTGTTTTAGCTTCTGGTTCCTTGTTCTGGTTTCTGCGTAGTTTTTGAACTGTCCGTCCTTTAGGTTCTGTAAGACGGTCACTTCATCATGGAAATAATGCTGTTGAACATTCTTTATGATCGTATGTTCTGCTTGTTGTAAGTCTTCAACGAGTACCGACATAGACGAACTTTTCCCGCGGACATCTGGCTCTTGACCTGCTCTTCTCTGGGATACTCTGATTCGTAGTATTTTGACGTACTTTGTCGCTAAGGCTACTGCATGTTTTAGCTTAAACCACGAAGAGAAGCGATTCAGAATGTCCATGTCTAAGGGTCTTTTCTGCGACTTCACGTGAACAGCGTGGACGGTAACCTTTCTAACTTCTGGATCGTTCTCATCGAGGGGAGGCGAACTGCTGGTGTTCTCGGGTAGTTCTGTTTGCCATAAGAAATCTGGACCATTTAGCCAGGTGGGAGAGTCTAACAATTCCTTCGGTGTGGCGGATCTTGAGGCGATGTCGGCTGGGTTATCCTTGCCTTTTACATGGTGCCATGATTCAGGGGAAGTTTTGCTTCTTATAGCTTGTACTCTATTTCCTACGTAAACGTGGAAGCGGCGGGCTTCATTTTGGACATATCCAAGAACGACCGTTGAATCACTATAGTAGATGTCGGCATCTACGTCATAATCCAGTTCTCTAGAAAGTTCTTGGACAACGTTCACAGAAATAACAGCAGCTGTGAGTTCAAGTCTTGGTATGGATACGAGTTTCAAAGGAGCGACTCGCGCTTTGGCCATCAAAAACGAAACGTGGACCTGACCTTCTTCGTTCACAAGCCTAAGGTAAGAAACTTGTCCCACAGCGGACTGACTGGCATCAGCGAAGCTATGTATCTCCGTAGACTTTACTTCTCCAAAGCTTGGCGGTTTCAAACAACGGTGCGTTTCCAGCTTTTCTAAGTCTTTTAATTCTGCTCTCCATTTCTCCCAACGTGGGCGAATCTCTTCAGGTATTGGATCGTCCCAATCAGCTTTCTGTTGAACTAGTTCTCTCAAGAGCAGTTTCCCGGTGAGAATTACTGGACATACGATTCCAAGTGGATCGTAAACCGAACTGACCGTACTCAGAATGCCTCGGCGTGTAAAGGGTTTGTCCTTTAACGTTATTCTAAACTGGAACGTGTCCGACTCTATACACCAATATGTACCGAGTGATCTTTGAATCGGGAGGGTGTCATGACGTAGATCGAGATCTTTTATCTCTTTTGCACGATCCTCGGCTGGCACAGCTTCAAGGACTTCGACGGAGTTACTGGCGAACTTGTGAAGACGGAGACCCGCCTTTGCGCACATTGCTTGTGATTTCGTGATAAGATTGATAGCATCTCCTGTTGTCTTGACAGACTTTAATCCATCGTCCACGTAGAAATCATTTCGTACAAAATTCGCGATGTCTTCGCCGAATTCACTTTCACCATCCTGCGCTGTTTTGCGAAGACCAAAGTTAGCGCATCCTGGACTGGATACTGCTCCGAACAGGTGCACATTCATCCGATACGTTACAATGGGCTTAGTCATGTCACTTTCTTGAAACCACAAGAAACGAAGATAATCTCTGTGCTCTTCAGTTACCGTGAAGTTGTGAAACATCTGCTCCACGTCACACGTTACGGCAATTTCTTCTTGTCGAAATCTGGTAAGAACTCCTATAAGCTTATTCATCAGGTCTGGCCCTTGGAGGAGGTGTTTGTTGAGGCTTTCTCCTTCAAATGTATCGCTGCAGTCAAAGACAACCCTGATTTGATCTGGCTTCTGGTGATGATAGATTGGAAAGTGAGGAAGGTACCATGTTTGACTGGGTTGGAATTCACGTGCGCTGTCTTCAACCTTGCTTGCATGTCCCTTGGAAATGATCTTTTCCATAAATTCTGAATAATCCTTAAACAACTTTGGATCTCTCTCAAACTTTCTTTTCAGAGACATCATCCTTCTGAGACAATGTGGACGATTATCTGGTAGATGGAGGGGGGTCTTATCTCTAAAGGGCAGCGGCATTTCCCAACGCCCGTCTGTATCTTTCTTGATTCCTTCTTCAAGGATCTGTAAGAACTTGCGGTCTTCGACAGAATGGATTGTGTTGTCTTCACGCTCTGCCTTTCTTTCGGAGTAGTCAAGCTCCATCATTCGTTGCACGTCCGAGGGTGTATAAATTTCTTTTGTCGTTGCACTATCACGTACAACGATTCTATTGATCTTGAATGCCTCGTCGCTGTCGTTTCCCTCGGGGCCTTTGCATACATCACCTATTATTGTCCATCCCAGGTCATAGCGTTCTGCCCATGGTTCGTCATCTTTCCCATTTACTACTTCTCTGGTTTTCATTGCTTGTGGGACATTTCGGCCGATCAGCAAGCCTATTTCTACTTTGCGTTGTTCTGGAATGTGTTTCGCGATGTCCTTCAGATGATCCCATTGACTAGCTGCTCTTCTTGTTGGGATATCACTGTCATCTGCTGGGAGGTCATCCCGGGTGTAGGCAGTGGATAAACGTATTGAGTTCTGGTGGTGGTAGTCTGAGACTTCTAGGTCCCGTACACGATAACTTGCGACAAGTTTGTCTTTGCTTAAGACTGTTGAGACTTTTATATTAGTAGGGGATGCTTCGATTCCGAGTCTCTCAAACACAGATTCCTTAACAAGGACCGCATTACTTTGGTCGTCCAGCAGGGCATAGGTGAGGACTTCTCTACCTGGGACGGATGGGTGACGAAGCCACACGAGTACAATCTTGGCACATGATTTGGTAGTCTGGTGTGAGCCACAAACTCGTGTGCATTTTGTGGCCGCCTTGGGTTCACTGGGATGTCGTTGTGGATCATGCAAAGCTGTTGCGTGTCTCTGGGCACATGTTGCACATTCAGGTTTTTTCTGGTCACATTTCTTCGCGATGTGATTCGTCGTTTCTAAGCAGTTGAAACATATTCGGTTTTCTCTCAGAAATGTCTTTCGATTATCAAAGTCCAATGCAAGAAAGTCTTTACAGTCGTTAAGAGAGTGGTCGTCTTTCTGGCAGTGAAAACAGAACATCTTGCGCTGATGACTGCGGTCCTGAGATCTTTCTCCGAATGTCTCTGGGCTAAACTGGGTACTCTTGTCGTTTTTATTTCCTTGGTTTACTCGTGTACCAAAGACGCTAAAGTTCTTACTCGAGTTCCTTTTGGCTCTTTGGTTGTCGAACCCTTTTCTTCGGCTCTCTTCTTGTTTTGTGGTCATGCCAAATTCGGGCATATTGGCACGTCGGGCGAGCACCTTCACTGTCTCTGCAAAACGCGAGAAAGGGGGGAAACTTTCTTCACCGTTTATCTCTTTGTATTGCCAGACTTTCCGTTTCCATTCATTCTGTGCCCATCCAGGTAGTTTTTCTGCCAACTTAACTAGTTCTCTGGCACAATCGAAGAATTTTAGTGCGGTGTACTTATTCATGGCCGCCTCAACTTGATTCAGGAAGTCGCTAAAATGTAGAAGCTCGCGATTACTATCTCTTCCAATCTTGGGCCACTCGGTTAGCTTTTTGTCAATACTTGCGGTGAGAACGCTGGCGTTGCCATACCTGTATTTCAACTCCTCTCGAGCTCGACGATAAGCGGTATCAGCATCGTGGTGTAAGTCCTGATAATGTTCTACCATCTTCAGTGGTTCTCCTTTCAGAAACTTGCATAGGTAATGCAACATGGTCTTGGAGTCATTGGTGTTTGAAGCCACTAGGGCGTCAAAGGATGATTCCCAACGCAGAAATTCCATTTCGTCACCTTCAAATACCTTTGGTGTAAGTTTAGGCAATCTCTGGAGGGACAATGCTTCTAAAATAACTTTATTACTATCATACAGCTGCCTATTTTCAGGCACTGATGTGGGGGTGTGGGGTATCTGTTCGTTACCAGGCACCAAAATCTGTTGTTGGACTGGGGCTGAGCGTATGCTGTTTTGTGGAGGAATAAAAGGAGGTGCATTGTAGTTCATGGATTTATCAGGTGCTGACACATTTTGCGAAACTGGGAGGGGTGCTGGCGTTACATTATCTCGAGTTATTTTATTATTCAGGTTGTTATTACTTGTGGTTGGAGACGGAAATCTATTTTTAGGGAGGGCAGGAATTTGATCTTGGTCGTTTTCGGCTTCTTCGTAAACCTCTACTTCTGCTTCTGCTTCGGCTAATTGTTGCTTCATTTTCAATTTCTCTAAGTGGGCTTCATGTTTGGCTAGCAAATTTTTTTGTTCGATAATCTCCTCTTCTACTACAATTTTACTTCGGAGCGCGGCTACTTTCGCGCGGGCTTGCAGCTTTTTTTCTTGTATAGAAGAGGAAGTACGAAAAGAAGAAGTGGTTGATTTTCTGTCTTCCGGTAATGACACCTGGTGGTTAGACCGGATGTTGTCGATTTCATATTTTTGCATATTTAGAACTAACGAACCCTTCACATTGTTCCAGTCGTTCAAAACGCTTTGACACTCTGTAATATAGCTTTCACGCTGTTCGGGTTCAAGCAGTTTTAGTAATTCGTCCAAACCCTGATTAAATTCTTTGACTAAAGTCTCTAGTTGTTCAATTTCGTATGTAATACTCGATCCTTCTAGAGTGCTTACTTCCGTTTTAAGCGACGATAATTTATCAACTAGACAACACTTTGTTTGTTTGAATATATTTCTCTTTAAATCTAAAATGTATTCTTTACCTTTTTGGTTTAGTTTTCTCTCTCTAGTGCTTCGACGACACTCTGTGACTTCGCTTAAACTGTCTTGATCGCTGTGTGGTTTATTTTCGTGTCCGATTTCGATCACGTTTGTAAAGTTATTCTCGTTCAAAACGGGACTATTCTGGCCGGTTGGCTCTGTCGTTGCTTCATCTGCATGGGTTTCCATAACGTAGTTCTTGCTGTTTTGAGTCGCCGAGAAGATATTTCACTGTGCCAGCCCCACGGCTGTTTAGACTGGTTGTGGGGCCTCGAGTTTTAACGCGTTTCAAATAATTCTTAATTTATTTTCAATCAATAACGAACGGTGCTAAATACAAACACAAATATACAGGAATTACACGGATAAATACGAATTACTGAATACTGGACAGAAACAGATATAAATACTGACAATCTACTTACAAATATCTATGACAGGACACTGGTATCTGGCGAAAAACGTAGGAACAAGTCAGCAACACAACAAAGCGCCCCAAAGTTCGATATCGCTAAGCTACTTCAATCTAAAAATGGCGCGAAAAACCCGGAAGTCCGTCAGCCGGAAGTCGCGGCTGCTACACAATGTAATAATCTATGTATGCCATATCTGTCCCTCCGATAGTTTTTTGTTATTAACGGCCATAATTTTTTGCCAATGCAGCCTTACTGGATAAAATAACCACAATTTTCCTTAAAGCAGGGGACCTATATAAGCCCTCTCCCCCGTCTACCGTCCCCCTGGCCTTCAAAAAGTTTAATCAAACCCTGAATTATGTTCCTAATATAGAGTCCATTCTAATTTGAAAATTACGTTTGGAAAACGACGGTACCATTAACTTGGTAAAATGATTATCCATTGTATTTTTTCAGACAATCTTGGAAAAAATATGTGTAGACTTTTCGAAATATACACCCAAATTTGAAAACATATGATGAAAATGTGCGCATTTTTCAATTAAAGCAACTATTTTGCTTAAATCGCCCCCCCCCCCCTCCCCCACAAGCAATGTTGGTTCAGGTAAAGTGGATTTGCAACACATGTCACCTAAATACCAACATTGTATAAGGGGGGAGGGGGCAAAATTTGAAAATTTAAGAAGTCTACTAATTTTTTTCCAGGATTGTAGATCAATGTTGGGGGTTTATTGATGGGACTCCCAGGCCTATTGCACGACCAATACGTAACCAGAAAATAATGTATAGTGGGCACAAAAGGATTCATTGTTTAAAATTCCAGGTACGTTATACTGTTAAGATGCCAAGTCAAACGTATTGTCTGACAAATTAAGGTCAATAAATGTATCAAATTTCCTAAGGCACGTGCAAATATATACTTTTAAAAGGTAGTAGTTGGTGGCATTGTACGATCTCACTAAAAAGTATACTGAAATTTAATATTCTTTCCATTTCAGTCCGTCCAGGCACCGAATGGGCTAATAGCAAACATGTTTGGACCAGTCGAGGGCAGCCGACACGACGCATTTATGCTCGGAGTAAGTGGCCTACAGGAAAAATTAAGACAGCTGACAAAGCCCGACGGGGAACCTTATGTTATTTATGGTGACCCAGCGTATGGGTTGTCGTATAACATATTGGCACCATACCGAGGCAACAATTTGTCCGATGCTCAGAAAGTATTTAACCGAGATATGAGCCGTGTTAGAGTTAGTGTCGAGTGGGGTTTTGGCAAAATCTCACAGATCTTTGCCTACTTAGATTTTAAAAAGAACCTAAAAGTCCTTGCAACCTATTGGAAAATACTACTTGATCGGAGCACTTTTGACCAATTGTCATACTTGCTTATATGGTTCACTCACAAGCTCTTTTTTTAATCTTGAACCACCAGTGTTAGAGACATACCTAAGTAACTACATTAACTAACGAGCTACATGTAATTAACAGTAGCTAAAAGCTATTTTGCCAATACGAAAGATAGGCAGTATATAATAACAGTAGCAATCAACATCCTTATCCATCTTAACTTAAAATACTAACAATATAAGTGTTGTGCATGAAACCCAATGTAATAGAATATAAAAGTATTTGTTTTGATAATAAACTTTTCAATGTTGCATGTTGCTCCTGCTAAGCACTAAGCCCAACATTGCTCTTCTTTCTTCTAATTCGACTTCTAGTCGCCTTTGTCTCTCTTGCACCTCACTCTCGTGTTTCTTGGTATTAAGCTCTAGCTCCATTTTTCGAATTTCCAACTCCTTTTCTTTCAATTCAGCTTTTTTTTCGTATTTATTAGCAAGCATTTCCATAGCAGTTAACTTTGTTAGCCGTGGTCTGTTACTTTTGCTATCTGTAGATTAAATAAAGTTCTATCAACATTTTTTTTGCGTTTGCAACTTTTCATTGTCTGTTCTACAAATGTTTCATTCAAACAATAGAGTAAAACATTATTTTCTGATGGAAATTTCGTACCTTTGCGCACCATCTTTTTGATCAATTCTTCATCTTCACTTTCTTCTTCACTTGAATGAATCGAGTCTTGGTTATCATCATATGCTAAAGACAGTAAGGATTATATCAAAATTTAAAATTTTTAACAAGGGTTTATAAGGAGAAGATACTATAGAATATTTTTAAGAAAACATTTAAGTTACTTGCTTTTGGAAGACAAATTGAACAACTAAAATTAGCAAAACAGAGATTCAAATCATTCAAATAATAGCCAGTCAACCTAGGTACCACAGACAACTAAAATTGTTTAAACAGTGATAAAGCTACAGTATGAAATGTAGCAAATAAAAATTTTAGGTAAACAGTAAATACATGTATGCCCAATTTTGAATGGATAAATAATTACATCCGTCTATTGGTAAACATACTTTCTCTCCTCCTTTCCATGACAGCCCTTCTCATCATTTCTGCCTTTCTTTTTCCATTCTCAGCTTGGTTCCGTTTCTCTTCTTTTTCTTTATCCTTTAGCACCATCATATCCCTTCGGAATGTTGATATGTCTTCTAGTAGTTGCTTTAATTCGTTATAGTCCTCCTCAGCACCAGATCTATTAAAATTGCAATAGACTTTTAATTTTAAAATTAATGAAATTCAAGTCTTACATAAAATGAATCACACTGAGAAACTATTAAATATTATCACTGAACCAGACCACAATTTATTTGCTAAGTAGCATATATACAATACAAGCACTTGATAAAAATGAAAATTAAGCAAAAATTATGGTTTGAGAAATGGTATGCATATATGTACTATGACACAGCTCCACAAACACTTATGCGCAACCAGAAAGAGATATACTACCATCCAGGTGATCTCGTGTTCGTATTTTAGCCAATCAGCGCTCAGAAAGGGTTATCCGAAAAGAAATCTATTTTGATGTATTCAGTCAATTATATCTTTCGTTATTCTTTATGAAACTAGTTGAAATTTTGTAATTATGTTTGGTTATGAGAACTATAGCTCTGACAAAAATATGGAATCGAAATAAAGTATATTACAGGAGATATTCAGTTGTTTTAATCATAAAATGGATTTCTATTTGACAACTAGTGCCAGTACTTTTCCGCGTATCAAGATCACCTGGATTGCTTGCAACTAAATATGAATGACGCAGCTCAAAACATTGTGTATTTTGAAAAAAACATTAACTATTTGCACAGAAGTATTCAATGTTTGTCAATACTATTTGACCTGTTCTAATCTGATTGGGCAATCATATTTAACTAGCTCCAAGCTAATTGGCTGACCTAATTGAAGCCTTCAAATGCTTGTTACAAACTTTGGACTTTGTTGTGAGAATGTACTATGTTTATATTCTGACTAAATGTTTGGATCCTAACCCAAAACGATATACGTCTGACTATGTTTAGATCCTAATCCACCAGTATGGAATGAAGATCGTATGCACGGCAACGTTGCTCCTGCTAAAATATTTACTAGTATTTTGGTGCACATTTTGTCAAATGTGCAGTGCACAAAAAGTGTCATTCCATACAGGCTAATCCATAAACATAGCCCCAAACCCCAACCTAATCCTAACCCATAACCCAGTGGCCCTAACCCATAACCCGGTGACCTAACCCATAACCCTATCCCCAAACCTTACTCCAAGGCCTAAACCCTAATCCCGAGTCCTTGGCTCAAGGCCTGACCCCAATCCTAACTCGATATTTAGGTACCCTCGATCAGAAACCACTTTAATTGAATAAACACAAACTCTATTTATACCTTTTAAGTGATTTTGCATCTTCTTGTTTGTATTTGGACAGAAGTCTGTCCATTCTCTCACGGCAACCTCTTGCCTTCAACTCGACAGGTTTTCCATCAGTACTAAAGTGTTCACTCAGACGAGTTGCAATTCCATCCCAATCGTTTGGCTTTTCGGGTCGAGAAGCTGCCACTTCCCTTGCCAATGCAATGTCATTTTCAGTACTTGGCCAGCGAAATGGACCCATATTCGGTGTATATTATAATCCAAAAAAGACAGATTGATGCGATATAAATAATATTATCTACACATTGAAAGTAGATTGTACCAGAAGTTATTAATAAATTATGATTTTGCAGGAGTGGTAGTGATAGTACGCTAATGAAACAAATATCATTCAGTGCAGGACATGTGCTCGCCATCTTGTTTATTCCAGCAAGCAAAGTATGATTTTCGTACAACAATAACAACTACAAAACTCATTATCATATTGCAAATTTAAGTTCATAAGGAAGACTGGGTAAACTTACAAACATATGTTTATAATTTACGTGAGATATTTAAAAAAAACACCCATAAAAACTTTGAGGGAATTCGCTTACCTGAAAGTCGCACTCCTCGCGTTGAAACGTGATAAATTTACGTCAAACCTGACGGCAAAATCGTAGTCACGTGATTTTTTGCCGTTTGCGGTTTGACGTTATCAAGTAAAAACGCCAATCTAAAACTCTCTATTGACCGTTGAAGTGACTACTGTCAACTCGACGTTCGCTAAAATGCCGTCTAATACCGTGGAAAGAATTTGCGCCATTAAAGATGATATTTTCAATGAATTTTTGTTAAAGTGCTAAAATATTATTTAGAAGACTTAGGAGTTGTTCTCATATTTTTGTAGAATTCATATCTGTGCGATTTTCAACGTTTTGTTGTCTTTGGCCGACGCGACTGGATCGTGTACGTATTTCAAGACAAGCTGATCGCCTGATCCTGGGGTTTTTGTCAATTGTGGCAAATCGAGCTGCGGAATCCTCAGCATGGACAAATCAGTGTCAAAAAAACCCATTTCAAACCAGCAGAGAGCTCCACTTGTTTTAAAACAATAAAACAAGTTTTTATTGTATTATCATATATATCATACTGTATATAAACAAATTATTATTAAAGGGAATGGTCATTATTTATGGGGAGCGGGGTTGGTAAATGGGGAAAATAAGGTTAAACAACTTTTTTGACCCCCTCCAGACTGGAGGCAAACTTTTGTGCCTCCCCCTCATAAAAGTAGAAACTTTTCTGATCCCCCCCCAGTGTGGATTGAAAATTTAACAGCAATGAAACAGGTGTGCATTGAAGGTAAAGTTAGGTATTAGGACAATCTGTTTAATCTAGCTCATGATGTTTTACCCTAGTGAATATGATTCACCCACATATGATTAAAAAATATATATTATGTGTTACTACTACAATGCAACATTTTTCTACCATAACCCTAACCCATGGCCCGTCTTCATACAGCGAAATGCATGATTTGAACACAGGGCTTTTTTAAGAACTTGTCTGGGAGGTGGGCATCTACAAAAAGGGACCATACTATACTGAGTGTGGAGAGTTTGTATTTTTCCCTGGGACTGAAATGTGAGCATTTTCTGAAATAGATTTTTGGATATACAGTGTTACATTGTGCTTTGATAGACCGAATCTGATCGGTTAAGTGCACTTGCTTGGTATGTTTATCTAAATACCACAACTGGGTCACTCAGGGGTTAGGAAGCTTGTTAAACTTAGTGGCCCCACTCCCACGAGGCGCTACCATGGTTGGCGCAGAGCAGGGAAATTTTGAAAATTTTGAGTTTCTAGATAATTGGAAATGGCATTTTCAGAGTCTTCTTTTATGCTATTTGTGATTATAGAAATCAGAACTATAGTCATGGTATTTAAGATCAAAAACGTTTTTGACTCCCCCCCCTTTCTGTGTTAAAACGTTTTTGACTCCCCCTATTATTTATAAGGGTAAAACTTTGTTTGCCCCCCCCCCATTTACCAACCCCCCTCTCCATAAATAATGGCCACTCCCTAAGTAGCATGTTATTTTTGGGATCTCGGATCAATTTAAAAAATATATCAATAGACATCTTCTTGTTTTATTGTTGCATCAATTTTAATCGGAAAAATACTCTAAAATTAAGTATGTCAAGTGTATGGATAAATTATTCTTTTACTAAAGTTATTTATGTACTTAGTCTTATTTGCATGAGTACTAGTGTACATGAAAGATTGTTTGAATTAGATATACCCAGTTATCATTTATAACATATGATTTGTTTAAAAATGCTGGAAAAAACAAAAAAAGTTAGCTAACCGAAATAAATTCACTAATAACTTGCTAAACATATCTAGTTGCTATTTATTATATAAAAAACATCTGTCAACATGCACTCATGCTTTCCTACCACTTGAGTCTCCACTCACCAGGTGTCGTTATGAAAATGTTTGGATAAAATCATGGGCGGATAGAAAATCTCTAACCTCTCTTATAAAGAGTTTAACCCCACCAAAATTTTGTTTCAAAAATCTTTAACACCAATGCCTAAACCCTGTAAAAAGCTCACTCAGTTCAGGGGTGCTGCTTGCACCCCACTAGAAATGTTTCCACCCTTCCTTTAAAAAAATCCACCCTTGGATAAAATCCTATACATTGTTTAATACACTGAACATAGACAATAGACATCCATGACGTCTGCAGCAATTAGTGGGTGCAAATACTTGCATAGTTCAATAGCAATATAACCTACATGTTGTCCATCCAGTTCCATAGTCTAGTCAATAGGCAATTCCAGCTTTTAATTTATGCGTGCTTGGGGCGACAAGAAGTAAGGTATCATATTGCTGATTATGCTGAAAAATTTTAATAAAAAAACTAAAATTGCTGGAATTGCCTATTGCACTTGGGTGAGTCAATGGTGCTGGCCATATTATTACATTCACTGTTTTATCGTGTTAATGAAGAGTGAGGTATTATGCCTTAATTTTCCAAATGATGTTTTTCTCACGAGCAGCACCGATGCACTTGAATGGTACAGCGTGAGCGATTTCTTCCTCATCACTTTCATCTTCTCACTTAAACGTCATCACTTTCTGCCCTTGATCACCTCTTCAATTATCATATCCATTCCGAACAGGCTCAAGACCAGCCAACCACTCAAATAAATCTCTTTCTACAACATCATAACAAGAAAATTATTATTTGATACATTATCATCTCCAAAATTAGCAAACATGTAAACCTCTAAAATTATATTCTCACAACCATCCACAACTAGATACAAACAGGCATCATACTCAGCAAAAATTTATAAAACAATACATACAAATAACTGAATAACAATATACCTTCAGACTCACCTTAGAACCAATGTAACTATGCTGTATGCACATATATGTAAAAATCTATCCATACAAACAGGCATCATACTTCAGCAAAAATTTATTAAACAATTCGTTTAACTCAAAACATGTACATATGTATATCACAGTGACACAGTACATATACACACACAATAGGGTCAAACTAGAGGCATTATAAACACAAGTATGACGCCATAATTTTGTACAGTGTATTTATAAAATTACAGTACAAGAATAAAAACAACAAATCGGAAATTTGACTATAAAATAACACGATAACTGTAATGCATTGTAGTATACCAACCTTAAATACCGCGCTTGTTTTCACGTTGATGATACACGGAGATTTAACGCCATCCAACTTAGAAAGAGAAGCCTCGCTATTGGGAATAAAAATTAAACACAATTCCTTTTCTCAGACGGATTATTTATAAAGCTAAAATGATAGCACGTCCCATGCAATTTAAAAAAGGTAAACTTGATATAATAAAGCACAAGTCATAACCATGATCGCAACAATACAGCAATAACATGATGTTTCTTTTCACAAAGTATCGCCGCAGCTAGGCCTGACACTCTTGTCCTTCGAAAACTTCCATATTGGTATAGTCAGAGAGATATTCACTCCTCGACGGTCAACAGTCAATGAAGTCACGCGTGGAATTAGGCGCTCAATACCCATGATGCTTTGCGGCCTGCTGCATGTCCAACCTCCTCTGATATGGTTCGGCTCACCACACACTTTCATCGAGTGCCAAGATGTTGTCGTTAGAATTCCGAAATGCATTTATCTATTTATTCATTTTGTCACACACATTAAAGATATTCATTTACGTAGAGATAACAATAACAATAACTAGAAAATGCTGCGACAGGTGAGGAGAAGAAAACAGAAACTAAATTCCAATTGATATTCGACCCCTTAACAATTAATGGATAACGAGACGTACTAAGACAATTATGCACGAACATATCACAGATTACATGCAACTTAACATATAGGATACTGTATAACGAATTTTAGAACAAAATTATCTATGGTGGTATCTAGGTAAACAGTTTGGCTTTGTAATAAGATTGTATATGGTGCTTGAAGATCTGTAGGGAATGGGCGGCTTTGATGTTTGGTGGTAGATTGTTCCAGAGGATGACCAGGGCCGTAGCTAGCATTTATAATTGGGGGGGGGGGGGGGGGTAGGCCAAAAATTTCCGAATGACGAAAAAAATTTCCGAATATTTCATGGCATACGAAGCCACGAAGGTGTTTGCTAACCGGAAAATGAAGACGCAATTTACAAACAAAAATACGTATATTTACGCACAGACATATTACAGAAGCATGCAGTGCCGTAGGAAGCTCTCTTTTATTCAACATGAGCTCCACCTTTGGATTTACTATATGAGTAAATTCTTAAACACGTCCGAATTTATCATTATGATAAATTCGCGGCACATTTTGAATTTATCAATAGAGTTAATCATAATACCACAAGCATTGCACAAGGTTTGCCGCTATAAATGTAATGGCACTAAAAGGGAGGCTGGTCCCGCAGGCACAGATAAAGTATATACCAGATGTGTAACTTAGTAGGAATGCGTGTCCTCAAATTTCCCTAGATGTACACGTCATGCTCACGCCATGACACTTGCTAGCAAAATGGCGTCCTGGAAATAGTGGAAAACACGAACGTTTGCATTTTATTGCGGCTTTTTTGGATCGAAGTTTATGGATTAGACAATCAAGAGCATCATTTGTTCAATGTTCAAAGTTGTTAAAAGCAATTAAAGTTGTGGAAAAGGTGTTGAAAGCATTTTGAAAGCAATGACGTATTGCCAAATGACGAA